GTGTTAGTGAATCTCTCCACAGGACCCGAAAGTGGATGAGAAGCAACGGCTTTGTCAAAGTCACTCAATGGGCTCCGTTTCTACTGATTGGGGATAACGTGACATTCGACTTTAAAAATTGGCCAGTGTCCTCTACACAACCTGAGAGCCAAGTGTAAAGTAACGCACTTCATCTGAATGCGTGGATTAACAATGCCCGTAAATGCCAGTTGGTTTCCTGTGGTAGGAGGACGACATCTGTAAAAGACAGAGCTCATACCTACAGAAAACATTTCTAAAAAAAGGAATCACCGACATCTATGTGTAATGATTTAGAAAGAGACAGTTCATGATGAACTTTTTAAGAACTTTAGTAGTAAACAAACCTCAGTGACCTACATTTCCGGTGAAAGTTGTTCGCTAAGAAGTCAAGTGATGGAGCTTTGTTCAATGCTTTTCGAAAGCGATTGGTCACTGAAGCCAAATCAATTTCAAGTTATTTTGATAATGAAGTCAAATCCAAAAAATTTCAAATATTTTCAAGTTTTTCAAGCAACTCGACCATTTTTTCTCATGTGTATATTCCGGAAGGTGTGATTAGGCTAAGATTGCGCGAACTTTCTAATAAATGAACTATATAAAAACTTAACTAATAAAGAAACTTCAGTGACCTTTTCCGGCGAAAGTTGTTGGTTAAGTAGTCAAGCGAAGTAAACTTTGTTCAATTTAACTCCGAAAGTGATTGGGTGCTAAAGCCTAATCAATTTCAAGTAATTTGATAATGAAGTCAAACCAAAAAATTTCAAATATTTTTCCAGTGTAACAAGCAATTCTTCATTTTTTCCAATGTGTATATTCCGAAATGTGTCTTTAGGCTAAGCTTACTCGGACTTTCAAGCAAATCATTTATATATTATCACCTGTGTGATGAAAATACATTTACTAGCCGTGGGGTGTAACTATAAAGGTTTTCATTTTGCTTTTTTTTATGTTTTTTTGGCAAGGAAATAATTAATAATCTTAGAGAAAGTTTTAAAGTGCGCCAAGCACTCCCCGTGTTAAGGGATGTTACTAAACTATGGATTAGCAGACAGGAATCAGCACCAGAGGAAACTTGTGTAACCAACGGAACCAAGGGAACCTACGAAAATATTAATTTTTCTATGAAAAAAATAAAGAAATAAGCCGAAAATATCTTAACATTGTTTGAAATTTCGTTTTCGGGTATAAAGGAAATTACGTGCCACGTCCGCGAGATAAAAAAGACAGCATATTTTACAACGCAACCGCACCTTAAACGATTCGAGCAGCCAGTCACCTCTTCCTTCGCTGGCCTTCCCTTAATTAAAAAAACAACTTCGGCCCATCAACGTGCGCTAGTTCATTATGCGTGAGCCTTTTAAAGATT